CCACGGACTTTTAATGGTATCTATGAATGGCTGGTTTATAAACGAGGCTAAGCCTGTGCAAACGAGTCTGTGGTCTTCAAAAACAGCGGTATGCATCGAATGCGGAACTGGTGTATTGTCGCACGACATCTTGTTGCACTTTAGTTTTGCATCGACTTGTGACTTACAAGTTTTTAATTAAAAAAAACACTTGACATTACATTACCCATGCAGTACATGGTTGATCACGAAGCACCCCAGCACCGGCCAAAAAACCCGACGCATTTAGTTTTAATGTCAAACAAAGAATTTCTTTCTGTTTCAGTGTATTCAAGTGAGACACTGTTTTCCTGGAACGCCGCTTTGCAGGTCTGTAAAGAAAAGTCGATGAATCTCCCATCCATTCACAGCGATGAAGAAAACGAAAGAATCAGAAACTTGACTCGCGGTCCTTTGGTGTGGATAGGTTTGAGACTGAAAACCAATAGATGGTTCTCCTTTTGGACCTGGTCTGATGGATCTTGGTATGACTACCGCAAAGGGTGGGGAAACTACTATAACGGTGGCTGCGTGTATATGGATAAGGAAAGCGGGAAGTGGATGGCATTGTCATGCGATAAAAACCTCGCTGCCTTTTATATTTGTGCGACCGTTTAAAGTGAGGGACTGCGGAGCAGTTACTTTTTAGCGGCATACAACAGGTATATATGCTTCCTATTGTGTAGCACCAGCTTGCAGGAAAAATAACTTTAAAAAAAATCTCATTTAATCATTTTACCACAGGTAGACCCAAACTGATATTCTTCTTCTTTGCACGCTCGTCATTGATGGGTACGATTTATNCTTTAAAAAAAATCTCATTTAATCATTTTACCACAGGTAGACCCAAACTGATATTCTTCTTCTTTGCACGCTCGTCATTGATGGGTACGATTTATTAATTTTCATATCGAGTTTTAATTTTGTAAGTCAATTCTGCACTTCAAAGTAACAAGCAGTTTTTAAGAGCTACATTTTGCTTCGATTGCTAGCTTTTTCATCGTGTTAGCCTTTTACCTATTAAGAAATATTCTCTACTTTCACATCCCCGTAATGCCTTGCGTCTTTGGGGGTAACCAATCAAAAAACTGTCCCAAATTGAAAGGTTTCTTAATTGAATTGATACTATACCTGCTTTTATCTGTACAATACTGATTATCAGTTTATTCCAAGTTATTTTTGCATGTACAGATCATCAAGAGTTTTGGTCTTACACTGAAAAAAATGTATTGACTTACGAAAAAAGTTTAAAATTTACCTTAAATGTCTTCAAGCTTCTATCTTTTTTAATTCTTTATTTTATTTTTGGATACCAAACAAGGTATTGTCAACATTGTCTGATCAGCCTTCAGAAAAATAAGTGGGTTTTTACCCTCTGGTTACCCCCCAAAGACGCAAAGTATTATGGGGATGTGAAAGTCGAGAATATAAAAAATAGCGAATAACCACATATGTACTGATCATAAGTTGTCCGCCATATTGCGCAAAATAAAAACTCAAAACATCGGCGAGAAAAGCGACCATGAATCGGAAATAATTCGTCTAAGGTGACCCTACTGCTAGAGCTAACACTTTTTTTGAAGGAGTTACCCTCTTCCCCCTCCCCCTTCCCTGGGGAATTTAAACAAAAGACTTGTCCCTAGCTTCAAGGACCATCCTATAGACCCCTTGCACCGAGTCCCGAGAGGAATTGTTCTGGGGGACAAAACAAWAGGCCGTCTTTTCTTATGCCAAAAAAAAAATCCATGGTTTATCCCCCAAAACAATTCCTCTCGGGACTCGGTGCAAAGGGTCTATCTTTATATAAATGAATTTCCTACTTAACTTGTATCTACTAATAATTACCCACTCGTATATTGGCATCGTGAATAACTTGGAGCTGTCAAATTTTTAATACAGAAATATTCATCAATTGTATAGAATTCTCGTCGTTTTAAGCACTTTATACTCTTCTGTTATTACTATATCATTCAAATAAATAGAGCAATAAAGTATTAGTGTGCGAATARCCACAAAATGGTTGTTGGTTAAACTGAATTCTTACTCTTTAAAAATGGACGAAGACTAGACAAAGAAAAGAAAAAAAA